ATCTCCGGATGAGGATGCAGAGATTCGGGGCCGCAGGCCATGCTTGCAGAAGCGGGATGCTTGAACTTGGACCCAGAAGGTCGTAACCCCAATGTGAAGTCAACAGGGACGCCTTATGTTGAGCCTTAGGCCGACTTCCAAGTCTGGCCCCCCACTGCAGCTGAGACTGTCAGGGCTCAGAAGAAGGAGCAACAAATGGCTGCAGCGCTACAGCGAAGACAGGAACCGGTTGTGACACGTGCCTATTCTGTGGCCACACACAGCATGCCGACAGTTTCCTTTGCCTTCCAATCCTGATCCTAAAGTGCGATTCTTCATTATGCAGGCATGCTAGTTTGCTTTTACTGCTACTGGTTCAACGCTCCAGAGGAAAAAGAGAAGGTTCAAGAACTTGTGGGGCGCCCGGTTGTTTTGCCAGCACTTCTTTGACGCAATCAGCGGGATCAACTGCCGCATGCAAATCAAAGGGAGTTGTCACTACATGCTGAATAAGACTGGCACCTGAGCTGTCCGCAGCTGTTTGCCTGGTTCCAGATGAAAGTCAGGTGCTGTGAAAACCGCCATGCCGGTGGCCGATATCGATTATCGCGAATACTTTGTGCCTGAGCGGATCGAAGATCTCAAAGAGACCTTCGACAGCTTCGACGTCTCTGGGGATGGCCGGATTGGAGCGGATGAGCTCTACGGTATGTTCAAGAAGCTGGGCAAGAATCTGACGCGCACTCAAATCCGCGAAGTCATGAGGGAGGTGGATGCTGACGGCAGTGGGGAGATCGAGTTCGAAGAGCTTTGTATCCTGGAGATCAAAATGGCGCGGCTGCGGCCGCGAGCGGATCTCATCCACTACGAGGACTACTTGGCTCCCAGGACCGTCCAGAAGCTGGCAGATATGTTCGATCGGATCGACGGGGACAGCAAAGGGAGCATTTCCGTGCTGGACATGAAGACCCTGTTGGAAGCGCAGAATTGCAAAGCCACGGATGACGAAATGGATGACGTCATAGGTGAGGTGGATCGCCAAGGAGAGTTGGACTTTACTAGCTTTGCGTCGGCTTGGGCGATCGTCAACAAGCACAGGAAGCGGATCAATTACCGCGAGTTTTTATCCATGGAGGATGTGGATGAGTACAAGAATGTATTTGATGAAGCAACACTAGGTTCCGGGTACATGGCCATCACTGAGCTTGATGCCATGTTCCGCAAGATTGGATTTCCAATGAAGACCAAGCAGCTGCGCAGCTTGCTGAGGGACTTCGATGCTTGTCAGGGAATAAGTTGGAATGCCTCTTAGTGCCATCCGGTTTTTTTTCTCCCCTGGGCTCCCACAAGAAATCGTCCCAAACCCAGGCAGTTGTTGGTATCCCTGGACATCCAGTCCTTGAGTTGGCTGCGTTCCATTTCCTCCCCCTATCTCGCTTGCTTCTTATCCCTTCGAAATCCAAGATCCGGGCTCGGCCGGCTACGGCCGGCCGCTGATAAGTGCTTTGTGCGGGGCAATATGAAAGTAGCCATTCCTGCTCCAAACCTAGAGATCTGTTCACTTCGTTGCATTTCCTTACCAATTTCCTTTCCATGTCCTTTCCATTTCCTTTCCATTTCCTCCCCATTTCCTTTCCATGTCTGTTTCCTTTCCATCTCCTTTCATTTCCTTTTAGTCCATTTCCTTTCTATGTCCTTTCCATTGTTTTCATTTCCTTTCCATTTCCTTTCCATTTCCTTTCCATGTCCTTTCCATGTCCTTTCCACCGTCACCGAGCTACAAGATACAGTTCCGCAAAACTTTTGCGACAAAAACAGTTACTTTCGGCCAATCTTTCGCGGGGGTACCAAAACTTTTCTTGGAGAGTGTCGCAAAGCGATACAAGTGGAGTGTCTTTGAATAACCTTCGACTGCAATAATTACCTATACAGCTGTTGCACTGAGGATGAGCGACAGAGACTTCAATCTTGAGGATATGTCATAGCTCACTGAAGTGCATTCCACGTCATTTGCAAGCACATGCAGCTGTGACAACATGTAGCAGCAAGCACATGCGGCAAGCACATGCGGCAGGCACAAGCGGCAGCAAGCACATGCAGCCATGCGGCCGCAAGTGGATGCGGCAGCAGCGAGCGCATAGGGCAGCAGCAACAACGTGCTGCAGCAGCAAGCACATGCGGCAGCAGCAAGCACATGCGGCAACAGAGCAGCAGCATGCACATGCGGCTGTAGCATGCACATGCAGCAAATCCATACGGCATGCACATGAAGCAGCTGAAGCAGCTGAAGCAGCAAACACATGCATATTGAAGCAATACTCTTCCCCGACGAAGATTGCAAGATTCTTTCCTCTTCAGATACACTTCTACTGCAGAATATCATCAAGCCTGCTAGGCAATTTCCTTCACAGTAGAAGGTGCTGTTCATCCTCAGAGGTAAGTAACCGCGCTGATGGACTGAGTGTGAGCAGAGGAGTCACTGTAGAAGTGATCCTGTGCAAGTACAGTCGATGCAGAGTCTACAACCTTTTAAGAGACATCTTAAACAAACAATACCACAGCTGTTGTTAGAAAAGTGATGGAGCACCTGGCAAAAATTCGCGCCAACGCGCAAGTTGGACACGAGCGTTGCACTTTTAGCGGATCATGCACGCTGCAATTGAACAGCAAATTCTCAATGTATTTCTAAAAAAGAAACATCCAAACCTTGAATATTGATGGGTAGATGACAACAATGGACAGTCCAGGCATTGAGCCCAAGACATCCCGCAGGCTGAGGAGGAGTTATGCCGCTGCACCAGCTGCCCTTGAGCACTGGGGCTTTCGTTTTGCTTTTTCTACACTTTCTTCTCCTGTCCTTGGCAGCTCCAGCAGCAGAACATACAGCTGAACATCATCAGCTGTGGGTCTGGTTCTAAAGCATAACTGTTGATGTTCTTTGCGGGTTGTGTCACGAGAAATGAAAAGATGCGGAAAGGAAGAATGAATAGGGTGCTGTGCAGAGCCTGATCGAAAGGAACTGGAAAGGACGTAAAGGGAGATGGACAAGAACATGGAAATGGAAATGGACAAGAAATGGAAAGGAAAAAAAAGGAAATAGAAAGGACATAGAAAGGACATGGAAAGGAAATTGAAAAGGAAATGGAAATGGAAGGGACGGAAAGGAGCTGACAGCAGTGCATATTTTCTGTTGAGCCCTGATTTAAGCCCTTTGTTGATTTTGCGCGAAGAAGCCTACCCTGCTTGGCTGGTTGGTGCCCCAAGGTGTCGGTGGCTCTACGCTCTGAAACGTGGGTGATTTTTCGCGAAAGATCCGCGAAAGCCCGTGCGATATCGCAGGCTTCGATTGCAAGGGGAGGTACTTTCTGAGCGCCGCGATAGTCAGAAAACTAGCTTGGTACTGAAAAGTTGCGACTTTACAGCTGGAGTTGCGAAAGCGCATTTCGCGTGCTACACTGGTACTTGATAGCTGCGCTTTTCTGACTTTAGCAAGGAAAAGCGCACGGCGATGAAACTGCGAAATATTCGCGAAAGTAACTTTTTTTCTCGCGAAGAATGGCCGTTTCGAGATAAAGGAATTTAGAACAACCACCATGTGTCTCCTCCTGTTGAGGGACTCCGTAGGGACCAAACAGCAAGGCTGAATTCTGTTGGGTGGTTCCACAAGGGAAGCTGAAAGAAGAGACAAAATCCATTTTTTTCTGGCTCCACCAAAAAACAAGGCTGCTTTCTTCAGGACATCCCCAAAACAGGTGTTTTCCGAGATCCCAAAACAGGGTGACCCTCAAAGACAGACACCCGATTAGCGAGCTCCGAGGAAAAAAGCCTTTGGGCTTCCCAGAACCACGGAATTGCCCTTCCAAACCCGGGCCAAAAAAATACGCGCCCCTTCTGCCGGCGATTCATTTAAGGACATTGACAACTCGGGGGAGATCGACTTCGAAGAGTTCTGCGTGATGATGCTGCGCCTGAAGTGCGCCAAGCAGAACCGCCTCATCACGCCGGAGACCTACGACTGCCGCAGCTTGTGGCTGGAGGAGGGCTTCTCCGCCAAGGAGAACCTGTGGTTGAGGCTTTTTTTAAACTGTTTTTATGGTTTAACAGGAAACCGAAAGGAAGCCATCCATTTTATTTAGTTATTTTGGGGGTGTTCCCCTAATTTGACACAAAGGGACCAATTTTGGCAGGGTTGGTGCAACACCATGTACTCGTATATCAACAGGTTGCCCTATTCTGAGACAGACCCCCATTGTTGAGTGGGATTTTCTTGGATTAACAAGTAGTCATTCCCTTGTCTCATGGTATCACCATGTTGTGAAGCATGACAAATCCGTCGAGTGGTTCCAGGAGCTGCAGATGTCGGGCTACAGCATCGAGCACATGAAGGAGGCGGGCATCCCAGTTCGCCAGATCCTCGAGGCGGACGTGAGCGCGCTGGAGCTCAGGAGGCGCCGGCTAAACGCAGGTTGGAATGGGAGGTATTTTTTGAGCCGCGCGAACTTCCCAATTTGGGGTGGCTTACAGAGACACCAAAAGAGGAAAGCCACCATTTGATTTGGGTAAGGGAAGCCAAACGAAAAATCGAAGCCATTTGCTTTTCGGGATGCAGACGATCATGCCGCAACGGCCGCAGGAAGCAGGGGGTAAGGGCTCGCGTCAGGGCTGGAGGAGTCACGCGACGCGGGACGAAATGGGGGAGGGGGGTGGAAAGATCTGACCGCTTCATGGTGCCGAGGCGGCAACAGCAACTTGCAGCAAGCAGACGCGCACGTGTCTTGAAATTCTTGTATGTAGTCTTGTGCGTTGTTGTGTTGTGTTGTAGAATGTCCTTTGGCGCGGATTTTGGCAAATTGCCTCGCCAGAGCAATCTACAACACAACGCGAAAACAGAAACACGACTACGTACAAGAACATCCACGAGACACGCCGGCAGAGCCGGCGGATGAAGGCTTTCAATCGCCATTACTCAATTTCACCTCTACCCTACCTCCGAGGGTGCTATTTTTTCTGTACAGTAGACAAACCAAACCCTTGTTTCAACGGTGGTTGCGTAGTTAAGCAATCCCAAGCGGTCGCTTATCAACATGGGTTTTGCATGCTGAACTTTTCAAATATAAACCAAAAGCTCGCTCGAACAGCGGCTACATGTTCTAGTCAGCGTAAAGGTCGTTTGGGCAAGTCTTGCCAGGTCAGCCAACGGGTCGTTTTACACAACAGTTTCAGCATCTCCAAACATTGGCGTTTACCATGTTCAATTGAGCCAAATGCCGTTGCTTGTCGTTTTTGCAAGGGCTTCACCATGTTCTACTGGGTTGGCCCCCGCTCGCTTCGCCCTTCAGTCGAATCCTCGCAAACCGCCGGGTTATTTCTTCGCTGGCTTGCCCGCTGCAAAGGATTCCCTGAGAAAGCTGCTAGGTGTGGCTTGTTTTGAGACCCCCTTTTGGTTTTAAAGGGAAACCTGGTGAAGAGCATCACCCAAAAATCCCTATTGGACATTTTAGTAGGTGATTCCATGGTAGGGCCGAAAACCATGTTCTGCGCACTGCCCGGCTGGTTTTGGGGTTCCCCAACGTTTGTCTCCCTCTTGTTTTTGACTTGTTCAGTGTTTTTGTTTTAAATGTATTTGGTCTATCCTTTGAGGAGCCCTTCAAGTAACCCTACACAGCCTTCACCATGTGAACCGCCAGGTGCGGCTTCTCCGCGGCGGAGCTGCGGAAGGCGGGCCTGGGCGCCAACGAGCTGCGGGCCTGCGGCTACTCCTTGGCGGAGCTGCGGCTCGCGGGCTTCTCCCACTCCGCGCCAAGCTGAGCTTGTCGGAACCAGCTGGCTGTGGGTCAAACAAAAAAGGTACCCAAAATGGAACCACAGACTAAAACCTGGTAAAAACAAAATAGAACCACAGACAAAAAGAACAAAATGGAACAAAATTACCCAAAATGGAGCCCCGGTAATTGGAACCAAAGACGAAAACCTGCGGTCCAATTCCTGGTGGTGTAATTTTGACCCATCACCTGGCCACAGGGTTCCACTTTTTGACTACCAGGCAGACTTAAACCCAGGGGTGACTCATTTTTCCCAAGAGGAGAGCCCCTGGGTTTTAGTTGGTGGACATAGAAACAACCCACCCAAGTGGCGTCCACCACAGGGTTCCTTGTTAAAAATCACAGCCACCGAAGTGGTTGGCGGACAGAAATCCCCCAAAACGCCCACAGGATCCGGGGAGGACATGATCTGAACCACATCAGGAAACCAACAACATATGGTTAACTTGTGCGCACGCTGTGGTTGAGCAAACAGCCTCCAAAAAGGCGACAAACAAAAGACAACCAAACCTATAAACCTACATGAACAAAAGCATCGTGCTTGGAGGAGTCTCCTTTTCTGAACCTTTTGGCATCCAATGTTTTGAGGACGACGTGCCATCCAACAGTAGTGTTTTTCAAGGGGGGCTTCCTTCTTGTTTTGGTTTCAAAGTGGGCTTCGGTTTCCTTGTGGTTTGCGTAAAGCGTTGTAGAGGGAAATTACCCCAAAAATGGCACGGCCATTCCCTATTTCCTTCAAGCACCACACTCCCAGGTTTCTGGTCGTTTGCTCAAAAGACGGCTTCACACCCCCAAGTCCCAAAGCCAAGTCCAGGTGTGAAGACTTCTGTCCACCTGCCGTTTTGTCTTTGTTTACAATGAAGTTTACCGGAATTGACTCGCGGGCCTTCTCTTGAGTGAACCGCATTTCTTTTGTCACCTTGATGCTTGTTGCAAGTCGGCTTTGCCGTTTTCCTCGCTCCCTCGCAAATTTGAGTTGAACAGGTGATTAAATAAACTTGGCATACTGGACGTTCATGTTGGGTGTCAAGTTGTGCTTTGGCTGTCCGGAATTAGTTTTCCATGGTGGTGTTTGTTTCTTCAGGCTTAAACGTTCACATACTAATCGCTGCTGCTTGCGTGCCGCCATGCTCAGTACGCTCATTTTGAGACACGATTCTTCGTGTCCTGATTTTCTCAATTATCAAATTGGTTTTGGATGCGTTGCCATCTTGATACTTGTTGCTACTGTTGATCAATTAAGGAAACCAGCAAAGGCTGCGTAACAATGCATTCAGACCCTCGCTTCCCTTCGACGCTTCAATGCTTTTGCAAGCAGACCTTCAATCTGGTGCCTTTTCACCCTTGCTGGGGCGGCTTCAGGGCACTGATGAGGAAAACAGAAACAACCCGTCTTAGCGGCCCTATTTAAAGACAGTGTGCAGGTGCTGACGCAGACCAACAAGGTCCTACGCTCCTACATCTGCCGCGGCAACTTGTCAGTGCTGCCGCAGATCTGTCCGAAATTTGACCCGGCGAGGAGAGGCTGTGTTTATTTTGAGTTGGTAGAGTTCTTGGGGTGGGTTGAAGGGCAAACCAGGGAAACCGCCATTTGTAGGGCCATTTTGGACACATAGGATGAAGAAGACGCCAGCTCTGCTCAAGCTCTGGTCTGAGAAATCCCTGGCTCCGAAGCAGGTGACTCCTCGAATCAGAGACCACACAGATTATCGGCCGAAGGCCAAAGCTTCGAACCGACCTCATACTTCCTACGAACAACAAAGCAAGGCCTGGGACACGGGGCAGGTGGGACGGCCATCTACTGCAGCATGATGCTGAATCATTCAGCTGGCTGGGCGCGATTCTCCTGCTCTTTGACCGGTACACGCGACAAATGTGCGCAATTGTATGTGTATTGTTTCACTCGTTTGAAGAATCCTTTCACGTCGACGTTTCACGGAAGCCAGCGCTGAGCGCCATGGTGACAGGTCTTGCACAAGCAGCCTGCCGTTTGCAAAAGAAAGGCTGATTCAAGAATAGCGATGGAGCCCAATACCCAAGGGAGGAGTAGTGGCTGAGGTCAACGGTGTCAAGAAGGCACAGCGGGCAAGCAAAGACAGAGAAGAGGCGAGGCACGCGGAACCAAGCTGATTGGCTTGCAATGTCTTCTTTGAGGTATGTTGGGCTTGTTTTGACAGGGAAGCCAAAACTTGCAGGTTCTTAGCCGATGAGAAAATATCACCACGAACCGGTTGCGGTTTTCTTGGGAATCAGTTCATTCCCAACCCCTCTGGCAGTACAAGGGAAAAACAACCCGTTTTGTGGTTTCCTCGTTGAGTATGTCTTTTTGTTGACGCTCTGGTTTGGTTAGGCCCATGGGTTCCGCCAGGAGCCTGGTCCGATCCCTGAGGCGAGTGCCTGAGACTGATGCTTGGAAACTCGGCTGAGTGCGTGGCAGGGCAACGTTTGCGGGGTGTGCAAGGAGGAGCATGGGATGTACCAGAGAAACCTCATGGACACTCCAGCTGAAATCCTCCATTTCTGCGTGCGCGGCTGTGTGTTTTATTTTTAAGTTGATACCCTTTTCGGGGTTCATGGGAAATCAAAAGGAGTTTGACATATACATGCGGTCGAAATTTCTGGTCAATAGTCCGTTTGTGTTTGGGACATGCGCGAGCCGTAAATTCCTACAAAGCGACTCACTTGCTGCACTTGCAGGACTTTCCGAGCAGATCCGCTCTCTTTAAGCACATCAAGGCAAAGTCCAAGTCCCATGCAACAATCTATGCAGAATGTTTTAGTTGGTTTTGCGCAGCCTTGCGAGCAAAGACAGCCTGTTTGATCAAGGCCACTGGCCATGCCATGCTGAAGCCAGCGGAAGAAGCACCGAAGGGACGCAAGAAGAAGCGGCCGGCAGCCTTGGCAAATGAGTGCATCCCAGATACAGTGCTGCTAGTGCGGCTAAGGTAGCGATTTTCATGCTGCTGAGATCCTTCAGAAGACCAGGGGCCTTGGAAGTATGTCTCACAGACCATCCGGATAGGAGTTGATACATGTTGCTTCGAGAGGTGCCAGCTTGGAGGTCTTAGATTAGCATCTGTCTGTGACGCAGATGATGTACACGCGAGCGTTCGCTTGCAGTTCCGCAAAAATTGCAACCTGCCACTCGTGCATAGTTTAACTGCCTCCTGCACAACAAAGACAGAGCCTTGCCAGTGAAGCGAGTTGCCCATGTCTTGCCGGATGACAGCCATTTGCCAGCACGTAGTTCTGACCTTTCTTCTGGAATGGAACAAGCGCATGCCCTTCACAACGTTTGGATAGATTGAGATATCAAAGTGCTGGGCTTCAAGTAGCAACACTTCACACAAACACCTCCTACACGGGCTGATTGTCAAACATAGCTGATTTCGGAGAAGCAATGCCATAGTTGAAAATGCCTTTTCTCTGTGCTTGGTTCCAAATCTGAGTCTGAATGGGGCTAGTAGGGTTGAGCAGTGAAATGTCATGGAGTTGGAACTGCTAGGAGCTCAGATGTTTGCGAGATTTGACATGACCATGTTAACATCAGCGCAGAGCTGGTGAAGGTTCTCGGAGGCCTTATGTGATGCCGCCGGCACCTTATAGTTTTGCAGCAACGAAGTGTCAAGCGTGGAGAGGCACTCATCAGGTAAATATTGCACAGCACTGAGTTTCCTTGGCAGGATCCAGCTTTGCTGCTGGGTGGTGCAGCAGGACAGGGAAGGAAATAGAGCATTGGGAGCATCAGACTGGGCGCACCTGGCCCACAACTCATAGGCGTGCACCCTGTCAAGGCGTTGCCGACACAGGCCGCATAGGCCGTGCTGCAGCTTGGTTGGCTGACGTGCGTGCCGTTCTTACAGCGCTGTGTGTCTTCAAATGTGCCAGACTTGTGTTTTTTTCCAACTTTGCTTTCTGAACGATTGTCCTGAACATGGGCACAACTTGCACACCCTTAGGCTCTGCATTGTTTCAAACTTCAGCTGGCCGGAAACAGCAAGGCGAGAAGAACGCGGCACTCCCATCCAGCTGAAACTATTTTGCACTGCTTGTGCCAGGGAGTACTGCCACGTCAGACTCGGCTTATCGCATTTCCCAACTTGGAAAGGCCAGGACGGAAACCCTTGAATCCAACTGAAGCTCAAGACGGATCCAAATGTTCCGACCAAGGCATTGAGTTTAGTGGCAGACTTGCTCAAGGCGGATGTGTCGCTGCCTTGAGGGCATATTCATCCGTGGCTTGTCTGAGGCAGCGCCTTCTTGTGGAGTCAACCTGCAGATAGCCATTGACGCGCTTCAAGAAGGCATTTGAGCCACAATCAAACCCGGGTAGATGAAGGTTGGTAAGGGCCAATCCCAACCACAAATAGCTGCGGCCGCCTTCTTAGTTCTTTACATGGTTCTGGGTAGACCATTTTAGTACCGGGTTTTGATTGTGACTCATTTGGCAAACCCAGCGGTTTGAGCTCGACCTTTCGGCTAGGAGCTCGGCTGGGTCAGCAGCTGACTGCCTCCGCAACTGGGTCCGCCGATGAGCCAAATACGACCGTTCTTAGCATTGCAGAAGATTGGCCAGGTCGAGTGTTCAAGGTGCCTGTCGCGGTTGCCGCTTCATTGGTTGGCCAGCGTTGACGGCCAAAAACCAGAAGAGAAGAGAGAGAGAGAGAGAGACAGAAAGAGTGAGAGATGTTTATGCGAGCAGGCCAAGAAGCGGATGCGGTCGAAGCTATTGCTTGTGCAGTTCGGACCAAGCCGTACTACACTCAGTGAGATTGTTTGCTTCTGCATTCCTTTCGCTTGTTGATAGGCCAGGAGGACTGCTCATGGTTCCAACTCCCTTCGGCCTGGCAGGGTGCCCTAGGCTGTCAAAAGTTCCCTTCGCGCGGAAGTTGCAACTCGGGCTGACAGACTCTGAGACTGAGCCATGACAGAATTCAAGACTTTGCAATCATTGCAGTCTTTTGGCCGTTGATCGCTCAATGAATGCGGAGGGAAAGCTGGGGCGCCGCATTCTTGCTTTTTGCGGCCCGAGGTGATCTTACAGAGAGGTGGCGATCGATTGGCGGAAGCCTCAGAGAGGGATTTCCCGGCGCTGGAATTGGTGCCATGAGGCCAGTGCAGAAGAGTTCCTCGTAGGCCGACTCGAGCTCGAAAGGGCCGCCCTCGAACCCGGGCAAGGAAAGCTCTCTGGCCAGGTGTCGCATCTTCGGGCCCCGGGCTGCAATTTCACCCGGCCAGACCTCGCGAGGTGCAAGGTGCGTATGGCTTGAGCGATGGGCTGGGCTTGCAGGATGGAGACGTGGAGCGGATGCAGCCTTTAGTGCACGGCCCTCAATGGTCCATGCAAGGTAACCAGTTCCGTACAGCTTGGATGTTGCTTATGCAAGTCATATCACCCTTTGCTGGTTTCCGCAATGAGGGAACAGACGTGCATGCACAACCTGGCCTTCCAATTGAATATGCTCAAGATCATTAGAGTCATTGCAGCATAGGACATGTGTACTCTTAAAGTGCCTGACTGCACTAACCACCAAGAAAACAACAATCGACAGTTTAGCAGCAGTTCGACGTGAGCAATCATCAATCACGCTCAGTGCTTCCCCCTTGTAAACGTCACACATCGGAATTTGATTATAAACCCAGTTGTTCAGTGGCAGCCTTTTCCTTTTTGTTTGGTGGGTTCCCCTCAAGAAACGGACAGTCCCGAAAGTAAATGGTTCTGCTTGTCTATCTAGCAGGTCACTGGTTGCAAGTGGTCTCAAAAGCCCCCCAAAAGCAAGCATATTATATCATTCTGATCATGATTATTATTAGTGTTATTATGATGATTATCTAAATTGTTCCTTGCGCTGTAGTTCTATTCCGATTCCTCCTGGCCATGGTTTGGGGGTAGCGGAAGTCATTTTGGTCCTCTTGGGCCTAATAGGGTGACCGGTGGTTTTCCCTTGCAGCTTCCCTTCAAAGCAATCTAAAGAAGGGGACACCCTCAAAACCCACACCCAAGAAGCCAATTTGCGAACAGTTTCAAAGCAGCTTTCATAAGCTCGGTTGAGAGGGGGAATCAAAGGAACACCATTCGTTGGGTGTCAAATGACACAACCAGCCGATCAAACCAATCTAAGGGTACCTTAAACGCTTTCAAAAAAGCCCTCTCTCGCAATAGAACCGCCATGGGCGAGTTCAAAGTGCACGCCGTGGAGCACGCGGCGTCTCTGCCAGACGCCCACCGCGCGCTGGACCTTCTGCAGCTGGTCCAGCGAAACGCGGAGGCCTTGCTGCGGGCAAGGCGGATCTTAAACCAAAAGGAAACCGCCTGAAGGGGTCTCATGGGTCAAAACGTACCCCCAGTGAGCATCCCAATCCAACCACTAAAATGGACTAAAATGGGTGGTGCATGATTTTGACCCACAGCCAAATATTGAGAAACGCAAGGTTTGGGGGACCCTCCTCAGAAATGATTGGATACTTCTCCCTAGTGATATCGACCAGTCAAGCAGTTTCACACGGAAAAGGGATTCTGTACGTATGTAACAAGGGAGCTATGACCAGACAACTTTGGGCTGATCAGAAACAGGTAAGTGTTAAGCCAGAGCACTGCCACAATGGTGGTTTTCCCCCTTGCACCAACAAAGGTACCCTCAATATTTTATACGCCGGACTTGCCAGGTCTTGGCGCGTGGGAGCATTGGTGGAGCTTTGCTGCTGCAAAGCTGCGCCTGAGAAGACCGGAAACCATGTAGCGGGGTGGTGCATTCCTGAGGGCGATGGCAGAAGCGCTTCAAAAATCGCTATCAGGCTGAGGAGGCCAAAAGGCAAGGGTCACAGCTTGCTGCACTTCGAAAACGTGTTTGGGACGATGCTGCATGAACTTGCACACATTGTTCACTCCAAGCATACTCCGGCTTTCTATCAGCTGATGGATGAGCTGAAAGACCAGTGGGAGAAGCTGACCGTGTCCGGCTGCGTGCTGGATGCAAAAGGCTTCCCCACCGTCGGGGGGCAAGCGGTGGACAGCTCGCGCCACAACCCAACTGGTGACTCCCGGACTTTGGCGGCGAAAGCTGCCGAGAAGCGTCAGGAGCTGGGCAATCTCATGTCCTCCAGGCGCTTTGGGGCCTGACACGTGTGGTCGTAGGTTTGGGGTTTTGAACAGCGTATCAAAAGGTCCGCAAAAACAGGCGCAGGCCGCATGTCATTCACCCCAGGCGGCTGGGGCACGGCAATGAGCCAACCTCTTGGCGCACCTTGCCGGCACGCGAGAGGGCCGCCCGCGCCGCCGAGCGGCGGGCCGCGGAAGCTGCGCTGGGCTTCGGCGATGATGAGCTGCCGGACGCCAGGGAGGCGAGCCACAAAGCGGGCGACGTCTCGGAGGGCCAAATTCGTGGCCAAAAGCGGAAGTTCTGCCAAAGGCAGCAGTGCCAGTGTGGCTTGCAACATAACGACCTTCCAGAAAACGGAATGGTGCTTGCAGAGGAGGAAGACCGCCTACTGCAACTTGCTGTCTCTGCTTCTCTGGCAGAGTGTGCAGTTCCGGAATCTTCAGCAGAAGGAGTCACCGACTTTGCCTCACTCCTACACCCCTGTATTGAACTAAGCGATGACGAATGAAAGCTGAAAAGCATCGCATGCGACTTTCTGCACGTTGCAAAGCCGTGGTTGCACCTTTATCCCACTCCCGACATGATTCAACCAAATAAGTTGTGCTTTTGAGGTGAAGGGAGCCCTTTTCATGGTTTTAGTTGGTGTCGTCCTGTTGTGGGTGGACAGAGTCCTCCACCAGTTGCAACTGGTGCGAAATGGTTCCTGTCCATCCACAAATTTCCCTCAGGATGGTTGAGTTTGGGACATCAAGAACAACTGAGAACCCAAATATTTTTGGAGGCGCCCCTACTGTGGATGGACGAAATCTATTTCGCACCAGCGTTCAGAAACCCTGGAACGGTGATTCCCCTGTAGCCAACAAACTTGATGGTTTCAATTCCATGATTTCATTTCGTGGTGCGAATTGGATTTCGCTTTTCCATCCACGTCCATCCACAAATTGCCCTTTTCAGGATGGTTGTGTTTGGGACATCAAAAACAACTGAGAACCCAAAGGATTTTTGGAGGCGCCCTGCTGTGGATGGACAAAATCCATTGCGTACCACCGTTCAGAAACCCTGGAATGGTGGTTCCCCTGTAACCAACAAACGTGATGGTTTCAATTCCATGGTTTCATTTGTGGTGCGAATTGGATTTCGCTCTTCCATCCACGTCCATCCACAAATTGCCCTTTTCAGGATGGTTGAGTTTGGGACATCAAAAACAACTGAGAACCCACATTTTTTTTGGAGGCGCCCTACTGTGGATGGACGAAATCCATTTCGCACCACCGTTCAGAAACCCTGGAATGGTGATTCCCCTGTAACCAAACGTGATGGTTTCAATTCCCTGGTTTCATTTCGTGGTGCGAATTGGATTTCGCTTTTCCATCCACGTCCATCCACAAATTGCCCTTTTCAGGATGGTTGAGTTTGGGACATCAAAAACAACTGAGAACCCACAATATTTTTGGAGGCGCCCTAGTGTGGATGGACGAAATCCATTTCGCACCACCGTTCAGAAACCCTGGAATGGTGATTCCCTGTAACCAAACGTGATGGTTTCAATTCCATGGTTTCATTTCGTGGTGCGAATTGGATTTCGCTTTTCCATCCACGTCCATCCACAAATTGCCCTTTTCAGGATGGTTGAGTTTGGGACATCAAAAACAACTGAGAACCCAAAGGATTTTTGGAGGCGCCCTACTGTGGATGGATGAAATCCATTTCGCACCACCGTTCAGAAACCCTGGATTCCTGGAATGGTGATTCCCCTGTAACCAAACGTGATGGTTTCAATTCCATGGTTTCATTTCGTGGTGCGAATTGGATTTCGCTTTTCCATCCACGTCCATCCACAAATTGCCCTTTTCAGGATGGTTGAGTTTGGGACATCAAAAACAACTGAGAACCCAAAGGATTTTTGGAGGCACCCTACTGTGGATGGATGAAATCCATTTCGCACCACCGTTCAGAAACCCTGGAATGGTGATTCCCCTGTAACCAAACGTGATGGTTTCAATTCCATGGTTTCATTTCGTGGTGCGAATTGGATTTCGCTTTTCCATCCACGTCCATCCACAAATTGCCCTTTTCAGGATGGTTGAGTTTGGGACATCAAAAACAACTGAGAACCCAAAGGATTTTTGGAGGCGCCCTACAGTGGATGGACGAAATCCATTTCGCACCACCGTTCAGAAACCCTGGAATGGTGATTCCCCTGCAACCAAACGTGATGGTTTCAATTCCATGGTTTCATTTCGTGGTGCGAATTGGATTTCGCTTTTCCATCCACGTCCATCCACAAATTGCCCTTTTCAGGATGGTTGAGTTTGGGACATCAAAAACAACTGAGAACCCACATTTTTTTTGGAGGCGCCATACTGTGGATGGACGAAATCCATTTCGCACCACCGTTCTGAACCCCTGGAATTCCCATGTAACCAAACGTGATGGTTTCAATTCCATGGTTTCATTTCGTGGTGCGAATTGGATTTCGCTTTTCCATCCACGTCCATCCACAAATTGTCCTTTTCAGGATGGTTGAGTTGGGACATCAAAAACAACTGAAAACCCAAAGGATTTTTGGAGGCACCCTACTGTGGATGGACGAAATTCATTTCGCACCACCGTTCATAAACCCTGGAATGGTGATTCCCCTGTAACCAAACGTGATGGTTTCAATTCCATGGTTTCATTTCGTGGTGCGAATTGGATTTCGCTTTTCCATCCACGTCCATCCACAAATTGTCCTTTTCAGGATGGTTGAGTTGGGGACATCGAAAAACAACTGAGAACCCAAAGGATTTTTGGAGGCGCCCTACTATGGCTAGACGAAATCCATTTCGCACCACCGTTCAGAAACCCTGGAATGGTGATTCCCCTGTAACCTACAAACGTGATGGTTTCAATTCCATTTCGTGGTGCGAATTGGATTTCGCTTTTCCATCCACGTCCATCCACAAATTGCCCTTTTCAAAAACAACTGAGAACCCAAAGGATTTTTGGAGGCGCCCTACTATGGCTGGACGAAATCCATTTCGCACCACCGTTCAGAAACCCTGGAATGGTGATTCGCCTGTAACCAAACGTGATGGTTTCAATTCCATGGTTTCATTTCGTGGTGCGAATTGGATTTCGCTTGTCCATCCACGTCCATCCACAAATTGCCCTTTTCAGGATGGTTGAGTTTGGGACATCAAAAACAACTGAGAACCCATAATATTTTTGGAGGCGGCCTACTGTGGATGGACGAAATCCATTTCGCACCAGCGTTCAGAAATCGTGGCATGGTGATTCCCCTGTAGCCAAACGTGATGGTTTCAATTCCATGGTTTCATTTCGTGGTGCGAATTGGATTTCGCTTTTCCATCCACGTCCATCCACAAATTGCCCTTTTCAGGATGGTTGAGTTTGGGACATCAAAAACAACTGAGAACCCACACTTTTTTTGGAGGCGCCATACTGTGGATGGACGAAATCCATTTCGCACCACCGTTCTGAACCCCTGGAATTCCCATGTAACCAAACGTGATGGTTTCAATTCCATGGTTTCATTTCGTGGTGCGAATTGGATTTCGCTTTTCCATCCACGTCCATCCACAAATTGCCCTTTTCAGGATGGTTGAGTTGGGGACATCAAAAACAACTGAGAACCCAAAGGATTTTTGGAGGCGCCCTACAGTGGATGGACGAAATCCATTTCGCACCACCGTTCAGAAACCCTGGAATGGTGATTCCCCTGCAACCAAACGTGATGGTTTCAATTCCATGGTTTCATTTCGTGGTGCGAATTGGATTTCGCTTTTCCATCCACGTCCATCCACAAATTGCCCTTTTCAGGATGGTTGAGTTTGGGACATCACAAACAACTGAGAACCCAAAGGATTTTTGGAGGCGCCCTAGTGTGGATGGACGAAATCCATTTCGCACCACCGTTCAGAAACCCTGGATTCCTGGAATGGTGATTCCCCTGTAACCAAACGTGATGGTTTCAATTCCATGGTTTCATTTCGTGGTGCGAATTGGATTTCGCTTGTCCATCCACGTCCATCCACAAATTGCCCTTTTCAGGATGGTTGAGTTTGGGACATCAAAAACAACTGAGAACCCAAAGGATTTTTGGAGGCACCCTACTGTGGATGGATGAAATCCATTTCGCACCACCGTTCAGAAACCCTGGAATGGTGATTCCCCTGTAACCAAACGTGATGGTTTCAATTCCATGGTTTCATTTCGTATTGCGAATTGGATTTCGCTTTTCCATCCACGTCCATCCACAAATTGCCCTTTTCAGGATGGTTGAGTTTGGGACATCAAAAACAACTGAGAACCCACAATATTTTTGGAGGCGCCCTACTGTGGATGGACGAAATCCATTTCGCACCACCGTTCAGAAACCCTGGAAATCCCCTGTAACCAAACGTGATGGCTTCAATTCCATGGTTTCATTTCGTGGTGCGAATTGGAGTTCGCTTTTCCATCCACGTCCATCCACAAATTGCCCTTTTCAGGATGGTTGAGTTTGGGACATCAAAAGCAACTGAGAACCCACAATATTTTTGGAGGCGCCCTAGTGTGGATGGACGAAATCCATTTCGCACCACCGTTCAGAAACCCTGGAATTCCCCTGTAACCAAACGTGATGGTTTCAATTCCATGGTTTCATTTCGTGGTGCGAATTGGATTTCGCTTGTCCATCCACGTCCATCCACAAATTGCCCTTTTCAGGATGGTTGAGTTTGGGACATCAAAAACAACTGAGAACCCAAAGAATTTTTGGAGGCGCCCTACTATGGCTAGACGAAATCCATTTCGCACCACCGTTCAGAAACCCTGGAATGGTGATTCCCCTGTAACCAAACGTGATGGTTTCAATTCCATGGTTTCATTTCGTGGTGCGAATTGGATTTTGCTTTTCCATCCACGTCCATCCACAAATTGCCCTTTTCAGGATGGTTGAGTTGGGGACATCAAAAACAACTGAGAACCCAAAGGATTTTTGGAGGCGCCCTACAGTGGATGGACGAAATCCATTTCGCACCACCGTTCAGAAACCCTGGAATGGTGATTCCCCTGCACCCAAACGTGATGGTTTTAATTCCATGGTTTCATTTCGTGGTGCGAATTGAAATTCGCTTTTCCATCCACGTCCATCCACAAATTGCCCTTTTCAGGATGGTTGAGTTTGGGACATCAAAAACAACTGAGAACCCACAATATTTTTGGAGGCGGCCTACTGTGGATGGACGAAATCCATTTCGCACCACCGTTCTGAAACCCTGGAATTCCCCTGTAACCAAACGTGATGGTTTCAAATCCATGGTTTCATTTCGTGGTGCGAATTGGATTTCGCTTTTCCATCCACGTCCATCCACAAATTGCCCTTTTCAGGATGGGTGAGTTTGGGACATCAAAAACAACTGAGAACCCACAATATTTTTGGAGGCGGCCTACTGTGGATGGACGAAATCCATTTCGCACCACCGTTCAGAAACCCTGGAATGGTGATTCCCCTGTAACCAAACGTGATGGTTTC